GGTGGACGTGGCAATTCCAAGCGATGTTAACATCCGGAAAAAAGAACACGAAAAGCTTGAGAAATACCAAGGTCTCAGAGAGGAGCTGGAGAGGGCCTGGAGGGTAAAGGTCACAGTAGTGAGAGGGCCTGGAGGGTAAAGGTCACAGTAGTGCCCGTGGTGATCGGTGCACTCGGGGCAGTGACCCCGAAGCTAGAAGAGGTTACAGCGGATCCCTGGAACAACCTCGGACATCTCGGTCCAGAAATGTGCAGTGCTAGGAACAGCAAAGATACTGCGCAGAACCCTCAAGCTCCCAGGCCTCTGGTAGAGGACCCGAGCTTAGAGAGGGATAACCGCCCACGGATAGAGAGGGATAACCGCCCACAGATAGAGAGGGATAACCGCCCACGGATAGAGAGGGATAACCGCCCACGGATAGAGAGGGATAACCGCCCACAGATAGAGAGGGATAACCGCCCACAGATAGAGAGGGATAACCACCCACAGATAGAGAGGGATAACCACCCACAGATAGAGAGGGATAACCGCCCACAGATAGAGAGGGATAACCGCCCACGGATAGAGAGGGATAACCACCCACAGATAGAGAGGGATAACCACCCACAGATAGAGAGGGATAACCACCCACAGATAGAGAGGGATAACCACCCACAGATAGAGAGGGATAACCACCCACAGATAGAGAGGGATAACCACCCACAGATAGAGAGGGATAACCGCCCACAGATAGAGAGGGATAACCGCCCACGGATAGAGAGGGATAACCACCCACAGATAGAGAGGGATAACCACCCACAGATAGAGAGGGATAACCACCCACAGATAGAGAGGGATAACCACCCACAGATAGAGAGGGATAACCGCCCACAGATAGAGAGGGATAACCGCCCACAGATAGAGAGAGATAACCACCCACAGATAGAGAGAGATAACCACCCACAGATAGAGAGGGATAACCACCCACAGATAGAGAGGGATAACCGCCCACAGATAGAGAGGGATAACCGCCCACAGATAGAGAGGGATAACCACCCACAGATAGAGAGATAACCACCCACAGATAGAGAGGGATAACCACCCACAGATAGAGAGGGATAACCGCCCACAGATAGAGAGGGATAACCGCCCACGGAGGGCCAAAGGTGAGTGGACAATTATATACATACATACATACATACATATACATACGTACATACACATATATATACATATATACATTCACATATACATATATATACATACATACACACACACACACACATATACATACATACATACACATACAGTACCTTGCGAAAGTATTCGGCCCCTTTGAACCTTTCAACATTTCGCTACATTGTTTGCCAGAGCGTTTGTGAACAGCAGTCTTCAGCTCTTTCCACAGATTCTCGATTGGATTCAGGTCTGGACTTTGACTTGGCCATTCTAACACCTGGATACGTCTATTTGTGAACCATTCCATTGTAGATTTGGCTTTATGTTTTGAATCATTGTCCTGTTGGAAGATAAATCTCCGTCCCAGTCTCAGGTCTTTTGCAGACTCCAACAGGTTTTCTTCCAGAATGGTCCTGTATTTGGCTCCATCCATCTTCCCATCAATTTTAGCCATCTTCCCTGTCCCTGCTGAAGAAAAGCAGGCCCAAAGCATGATGCTGCCACCACCATGTTTGACAGTGGGGATGGTGTGTTCAGGGTGATGAGCTGTGTTGCTTTTACGCCAAACATATCGTTTTGCATTGTGTCCAAAAAGTTTGATTTTGGTTTCATCTGACCAGAGCACCTTCTTCCACATGTTTGGTGTGTCTCCCAGGTGGCTTGTGGCAAACTTTAAACCAGACTTTTTATGGATATCTTTGAGAAATGGCTTTCTTTTTGCCACTCTTCCATAAAGGCCAGATTTGTGCAGAGCACGACTGATTGTTGTCCTATGGACAGACTCTCCCACCTCAGCTGTAGTTATCTGCAGTTCATCCAGAGTGATCATGGGCCTCTTGGCTGCATCTTTGATCAGTCTTCTCCTTGTTTGAGATGAAAGTTTGGAGGGACGGCCGGGTCTTGGTAGATTTGCAGTGGTCTGATACTCCTTCCATTTCAATATAATTGCTTGCACAGTGCTCCTTGAGATGTTTAAAGCTTGGGAAATCTTTTTGTATCCAAATCCGGCTTTAAACTTCTCCACAACAGTATCTCGGACCTGCCTGGTGTGTTCCTTTGTCTTCATGGTTCTCTCTGTGCTTTAAACAGAACCCTGAGACTATCAAAGAGCAGGTGCATTTATACAGAGACTTGATTACACACAGGAGCATTCTATTTATCATCATCAGTCATTTAGGACAACATTGGATCATTCAAAGATCCTCACTGAACTTCTGGACTGAGTTTGCTGCACTGAAATAATATTGCACGCCCCCCTTTTCAGTTTTTTTTTTGTTAAAAAAGTTTAAATTCTCCAATAAATTTCATTCCACTTCACGATTGTGTCCCACTTGTTGTTGATTCATGACAAAAAAATATTGTTTTATATCTTTATGTTTGAAGCCTAGTGACGAAATGTTGAAAGGTTCAAGGGGGCCGAATACTTTCGCAAGGCACTGCATATACATACATACATACACACATATATACATACATAAATACATATACACACACACATATATACATACATACATACACAAATACAGTGGGGAAAAAAGTATTTAGTCAGCCTCTAATTGTGCAAGTTCTCCCACTTAAAATAATGACAGAGGTCTGTAATTTTCATCATAGGTTCACTTCAACGGTGAGAAACAGAATGTGGAAAAAAAAATCCAGGAATTCACATCGTAGGATTTTTTAAGAATTTATTTGTAAATTATGGAGGAAAATAAGTATTTGGTCACTTCAAACAAGGAAGATCTGTGGCTCTCACAGACCTGTAACTTCTTCTTTAAGAAGCTCTTCTGTCCTCCACTCGTTACCTGTATTAATGGCAATAAATACAAATACAAATACCTGTTTGAACTTGTTATCTGTATAAAAGATTGCCCAAATGTAGCCCACAACAATATTTCAACCACTGATAATCTCCCTCGATCTGGGGCTCCACACAAGATCTCATCCCGTGGGGTCACAATGATCATGAGAATGGTGATCAAAAATCCCAGAACCACACGGGGGGACCTGGTGAATGACCTGCAGAGAGCTGGGACCAAAGTAACAAAGGTTACCATCAGTAACACACTACGACGACAGGGAATCAAATCCTGCAGTGCCAGACGTGTCCCCTGCTGAAGCCAGTGCATGTCCAGGCCCGTCTGAAGTTTGCCAGAGAGCACATGGATGATACAGCAGAAGATTGGGAGAATATCATGTGGTCAGATGAAACCAAAGTACAACTGTTTGGTATAAACTCAACTCGTCGTGTTCGGAGGAAGAAGAATACTGAGTTACATCCCAAGAACACCATACCTACTGTGAAGCATGGGGGTGGAAACGTCATGACGTCACTGATCTGTGTTAAGGAAAGAATGAATGGGGCCATGCATCGTGAGATTTTGAGCCAAAACCTCCTTCCATTGACTTGAATTTGTATTATTGACCAAATACTTATTTTCCACCATAATTTACAAATAAATTCTTTAAAAATCCTACCATGTGAATTCCTGGATTTTTTTTTCTCATTCTGTCTCTCACAGTTGAAGTGAACCTATGATGAAAATTACAGACCTCTGTCATTATTTTAAGTGGGAGAACTTTCACAATCGGTGGCTGACTAAATACTTTTTTGCCCCACTGTATATACATACATACAGTACAGACCAAAAGTTTGGACACACCTTCTCATTTAGAGAGTTTTTTATTTTCATGGTAGATTGACACTGAAGGCATCAAAACTATGAATGAACTCATGTGGAATTATACTCAACAGAAATATAAACGCAACACTTTTGTTTTTGCTCCAATTTCCATGAGATGGACTTAAAGATGTAAAATTCATTTCAGATACACATTATTGCCATTTCTTTCAAACAAAATTCACAAATCTGTCTAAATGTGTGATAGTGAGCACTTATGCTTTGCTGATAAAATCCATCCCACCTCACAGGCCACATCAAGATCTGACATCATGATGAGTGCACAGCCTCAGACTGACCACAATAAAACTCTGGGGACTCAGAACCAGTCAGTATCTGGGTCTGGAGACTCAGAACCAGTCAGTATCTGGGCCTGCGGACTCAGAACCAGTCAGTATCTGGGTCTGGAGACTCAGAACCAGTCAGTATCTGGGTCTGCGGACTCAGAACCAGTCAGTATCTGGGTCTGGAGACTCAGAACCAGTCAGTATCTGGGTCTGGAGACTCAGAACCAGTCAGTATCTGGGTCTGGAGACTCAGAACCAGTCAGTATCTGGGTCTGGAGACTCAGAACCAGTCAGTATCTGGGTCTGGAGACTCAGAACCAGTCAGTATCTATGTCTGGGGACTCAGAACCAGTCAGTATCTATGTCTGGAGACTCAGAACCAGTCAGTATCTGTGTCTGGAGACTCAGAACCAGTCAGTATCTATGTCTGGGGACTCAGAACTAGTCAGTATCTGGGTCTGGAGACTCAGAACCAGTCAGTATCTATGTCTGGGGACTCAGAACCAGTCAGTATCTATGTCTGGGGACTCAGAACTAGTCAGTATCTATGTCTGGGGACTCAGAACCAGTCAGTATCTGTGTCTGGGGACTCAGAACCAGTCAGTATCTGGTGTGACCTCATACAGTGCAACACATCTTCTTACATAGAGTTGATCAGATTGTCAATTGTGGCCTGTGGAATTTTGGCCCGCTCCTCTTCAATGACTGTGCTGCTGGATATCAGTGGGAACTGGTGCAGGCTGTCGTATACGCCGCTCAAGCACATCCCAAACATGCTCAATGTGACATGTGCGGTGAGTATGTGAATATACCATAACCACACCACCATGGACCATACCATCCACACCACCATGGACCATACCATCACCACACCACCATGGACCATACCATCCACACCACCATGGACCATACCATCACCACACCACCATGGACCATACCATCCACACCACCATGGACCATACCATCCACACCACCATGGACCAAACCATCCACACCACCATGGACCAAACCATCCACACCACCATGGACCAAACCATCCACACCACCATGGACCATACCATCACCACACCACCATGGACCATACCATCCACACCACCATGGACCATACCATCCACACCACCATGGACCATACCATCACCACACCACCATGGACCATACCATCACCACACCACCATGGACCATACCATCACACACCACCATGGACCATACCATCCACACCACCATGGACCAAACCATCCACACCACCATGGACCAAACCATCCACACCACCATGGACCATCCATCCACACCACCATGGACCATACCATCACCACACCACCATGGACCATACCATCCACACCACCATGGACCATACCATCCACACCACCATGGACCATACCATCACCACACCACCATGGACCATACCATCCACACCACCATGGACCATACCATCCACACCACCATGGACCAAACCATCCACACCACCATGGACCAAACCATCCACACCACCATGGACCATACCATCCACACCACCATGGACCATACCATCACCACACCACCATGGACCATACCATCCACACCACCATGGACCATACCATCCACACCACCATGGACCAAACCATCCACACCACCATGGACCAAACCATCCACACCACCATGGACCATACCATCCACACCACCATGGACCATACCATCACCACACCACCATGGACCATACCATCACCACACCACCATGGACCATACCATCCACACCACCATGGACCATACCATCCACACCACCATGGACCATACCATCCACAACACTGACACCAGTAAAGCGCTCACGCGTCGCCATCTGCCCTGAACACTGCAAACCCAGATTCATCCGTGAAGAGAACACCTCCAATGTGTCAGACGCCACGAGTCAGGTCCAGACCCGATGAGGACGAGCTGGAGTCAGGTCCAGACCCGATGAGGACGAGCTGGAGTCAGGTCCAGACCCGATGAGGACGAGCTGGAGTCAGGTCCAGACCCGATGAGGACGAGCTGGAGTCAGGTCCAGACCCGATGAGGACGAGCTGGAGTTTCCCTGAGACAGTCTCAGACATTTTGTGAAGTGTTTGGTGCAAACCAATAGTTTCAGCAGCTGTCAGGGTCTCAGACGATCCTGGAGGCGAACCTGCTGGATGTGGAGGTCCTGGGCTGGATGTGGAGGTCCTGGGCTGGATGTGGAGGTCCTGGGCTGGATGTGGAGGTCCTGGGCTGGATGTGGAGGTCCTGGGCTGGATGTGGAGGTCCTGGGCTGGATGTGGAGGTCCTGGACTGGATTTGGAGGTCCTGGGCTGGATGTGGGGGTCCTGGGCTGGATGTGGAGGTCCTGGGCTGGATGTGGAGGTCCTGGACTGGATGTGGAGGTCCTGGACTGGATGTGGAGGTCCTGGGCTGGATGTGGAGGTCCTGGGCTGGATGTGGAGCTCCTGCTTCTGACTGCTTGCTATCTCCTGTTTTTTGTCTTTTTCCTGGAGTTTTGCCACAGACAACTTTAAGCAACTTTTAGCAAGAATGGAAATGATTAATTGGTCCCTCAACGCAATTGATTCTATCTTTTCAACACGTAAGCGTGGGTCTGGAGAGCCCGTGTGCCCGGACGGGACTTCACCAGCGGGGTATACGCTTGACAGCTGGAACAAGTTTCAGCCCCTCTGTCTGTCGACCCTGTCTATTGAAGATTCGGAAGACGTATATATCTTTGGCATTTTGGTGGTGGGAATCCTCCTGTTTGGGTTTGGAGCGGTTCTCTTCTACCACAAATTCGGAGGCATGGCAGTTCGCAAGATTCACGACCTGCTGGCCGACAAAATTGATGGGATGTACAAGGAGCTTAACCGAGTCGTGGTTGAGAGTGCCGTGTCTGGACAACGGAGAGTGGTGTTGGTGGAACAGTTGATCAGAGATCTCGCAGCTCGTTCACTCGATGGGCATAAAACTCTGGAATTGAGATTGAATGACATTGTTTGTCAGGCTTGAACTCTCTGACCCGGCTTGGATTTGCCCCTGTGTACGGAGGTCTGAGGGCGCCGCAATTCGGTTTAATTGGATTTAATAGAATATCTGCCTGTTTTTGACTGCGACATTGCATATAATATTGTCCCTCTTCACAGGCGATGTGTTTTTCTCCAGCTGTGTCTTCTCTCCACTCTTATCTCACATTCCTCGGCCAAGGCCATAATAACAAGTCCGGACTATCTACAACAACTCACACTATTCAGTCTTCAGTCTCCAGCTCGGATCCCTCACCCCCGCCTCCCTCTACCTATCCATCTTGCTCCCTCCCTCCCCTCCACTCCTCATTGTGTTTCCGACTCACCCCCTCCCTGACCCTGCCCCCCTCTGACAGCCACATTGGGCCGGCAGTCGGAGGGCTCATCCCGAGAAAAAAATCCGTGCTTTATTCAAAGCACAATGTGTCTATCCAACTGTCTGTGTAATCTGTATGTTATTGCTCTCTGCTGTTTATTCTACTGTTTGTCGCATGGCGCCGGAAAGATGGCGCCGTGGCAAGAGCTCTGGTGTGTGTCGTCTTCTCTGTCTGGCGCACACCGGGGTAGTCTTGCACAGTTTTCCAATGTGGTTTTACTGCAAATGGCAAATAAATGAATCTGAATCTGAATCTGGGCTGGATGTGGAGGTCCTGGGCTGGATGTGGAGGTCCTGGGCTGGATGTGGAGGTCCTGGGCTGGATGTGGAGGTCCTGGGCTGGATGTGGAGGTCCTGGGCTGGATGTGGAGGTCCTGGGCTGGATGTGGAGGTCCTGGGCTGGATGTGGAGGTCCTGGACTGGATGTGGAGGTCCTGGGCTGGATGTGGAGGTCCTGGGCTGGATTTGGAGGTCCTGGGCTGGATGTGGAGGTCCTGGGCTGGATGTGGAGGTCCTGGGCTGGATGTGGAGGTCCTGGGCTGGATGTGGAGGTCCTGGGCTGGATGTGGAGGTCCTGGGCTGGATGTGGAGGTCCTGGGCTGGATGTGGAGGTCCTGGGCTGGATGTGGAGGTCCTGGGCTGACATTCTGCTGTCAGCGCTCCCTCAGAGCTGTGGCGTCTGTGGCACTTTGCTGAGACAGATCTGCACATTTCAGAGTTTTATTGTGGACAGTCTAATCATGATGTCGGATCAGAGTCTTGATGTGGCACACCGGTGAGGTGGATTATCTCAGCAAAGCAGAAGTGCTCACTATCACATATTTAGACAGATTTGTGAACAATGTTTGAGAGAAATGGTAATATTGTGTATCTGAAATGAATTTTAGATTTTTGAGTCCATCTCATGGAAAATTCCTCCTTCCTCAGTTGGAAAAGCAAACTGGACCAGAACCAGTCCAGGACCACATAACATAATAGAAAACAATACATATAGAAACAGAACAAGTCCTAATGTCATGGAGACCAAAAATGTACTGTGTTGACTCTTCCAAAACTAAAAGCTTGTCTGGGGCACACTGGGGACTTTTGCCTATGTATTCCAATGTGGTTTTATTGCAGATGGCAAATAAACTGGAGCTGAGTCTGAATTGAATCTGAAAAGCCAGACTTCTAACCTTGTTTTTACAGTAATTCAAGATTTACAATATTTTTTCCACCAATTTCCGAACACCACAACAGCCACTGCTTTGCTAAAATAATAAGTTTTTGAAGAATGCTGCATTCTTTCTTGTTAAGAAAGAATACAACTCATTCATAGGTTAAATATAGAAGTAACTTAATACCGTTTGATGCTTGGGAAGTAGAAATGTCCCTCTTTCAAAATAAAATAACAATGTAAATGTTATTTATATGTTCTTTCAATTCAAAATAATTGCACATATTGTTTTAAAATCATGTGACTTGCTGTATGTGTAAATGCGTGTAATACTTTGGAAACTGGTCTGAGGTTTTGATCGAGACCACCATGAGTCACAGCCGTTAGAAATGACACCCGCCTCTTTCACAGGAACCCGCTCTCCTTGAGGTCAATAAGGTTTTTTTGAAATAACAGTTTAGTGGCTGTAGTTTTCTAACTCTGGAAGGTCTTTAGTTCAATCCCCTGTGTGTGTGTAGTCTGTGTATGATTAGAATGATAATAATTGTGGGTTTTATACAGTGCTTTTTGGACACTCAAAGAAGCTTCATATGGCATTATTCAATCACTCCAAACACAGTGGTGATAAACTACTGTAGGCACAGCTTTATGCTGAAACAGTCTTCTCTGAAAATGTTCAAATCCAGGTTAAAAACAACTGAAGGATTTTATTTTTACTCTTTTTAATGTGATTATGTATTATCTTATTAACTTCTATAGTTTCTGTCTTGTTCAGCACTTTGAGCTCCCTTGTGTGTCATACACATCATGTGTGCGCTGATGATACAGTCCATTTCATCAGAGCTTTATGCCAACACATTCTGCTGCACCAATATACAGCTTTACTCTGGTTATATTTACAGGAAATATGGTCCAGGCCAAGTGTTGGATATCATTATTTCATTCATTTGGATTTAATAAAAATGTGTAATGGAGTGGAGGCTTTAGCCAGGAGGCTGTAGACCCAGGACTGAGACTGTAGACCCAGGACTGAAGCTGTAGACCTAGGACTGAGGCTGTAGACCCAGGACTGAGGCTGTAGACCCAGGACTGAGACTGTAGACCCAGGACTGAGGCCGTAGACCCAGGACTGAGGCTGCAGACCCAGGACTGAGACTGTAGATCCAGGACTGAGACTGTAGATCCAGGACTGAGGCTGTAGACCTAGGACTGAAGCTGTAGACCTAGGACTGAGGCTGTAGACCCAGGACTGAGACTGTAGATCCAGGACTGAGGCTGTAGACCCAGGACTGAGGCTGTAGATCCAGGACTGAGGCTGTACAAACACACTTGCCTAATTGAGAGCTTGGAACTTTTTTAGACAGATGTTTTACTACTATATACGTTTTATTAATGCCATTGTCGCTATTACAACCTTATGTCAATGTCAATGTCAAGTTTATTTATATAGCACATTTTCAACAACAATCGCTGCCCAAAGCGCTGCACAGTATAATACATCAAATACACAAAAAACAACCCACCTTTGCGAATGATTTTATTTATTTCATTTTATTTTGAAGGGCCAGAGCGGAACTACTTCACCGCGCATGCAAATACAGCAGGTCTGGGCGATCCGATGCAGGAGGAGACTTGAGGCCGCTCGGGACTCGCTGCATTCCAGGGAACACAGCCACAACTCACCGGTGTCTTTCACCGGGACTTTCAGCCATGGGATAAACCTGCAAAACCCGCGCCTCCAACCTCACCGTTTCTACCGGACCTGTTCCCGCTCCACCCGGGGATCACGCCAACGCCAAGTGCCCGATGTGGAGCCTCCAACCCGGGGAGAAATCTGTGCAACCAACACATTCACCGCTGCGGCTCCTGCTGCGGCTCCTGCTGCGGCTCCTGCTGCTGCTCCTGCTGCTGCTCCATCCTGTTACGAAAGCAGCTAGCTGGTGATGTGGTTTACGTTGAGGAAACAGCAGAAGAATCATGTTTATTTGTATAGAACATGATTGCTTTAATTGACAGGACAATGCGGGAGACGGGAGCTGCAGCAGAGGAGACGCTCGCATGGGAGATACATTAGATTTTTAAAGACTATTCCACAGTTTAACGCGGTGTTTTGGGGATTATCCACCTCTGCAGACGCCGTGCAAGCGGACAACCTTGAAGAACGAACCCGCTTCCACCACAGCATCCATCCATTCAGAGGTGTTAGGTGCCAACTCTTGCCTGTCTCCGGGTTGAGCAGAGGGGACAGAGGGGACACACATAAACCATGCCGTGTGGGTGTGTTGTGTGTGACTGTCGGCTCTGGTCGGGTCTTGGGGAGTCATGACAGCCGAGAAGCCGACTTTCGAGTATGAGTGGTCGGCTGCGCCTGTGTGATCCCTGGCCCCCTGTCCTCCGCGGAGACCCGGTGCTAGCAACGAGCTAAGTGGCTAGCAGCATCTTTTAAAAAATATCAAATATATTTTTTAAATGAACCACAAATGGTTTCCCACAAGGTCTTCGTGGCAATAATCCTGCTCAACCTGTACATAGGCGTGCAGTCGATTTTCTATCTGTTTGGAGGAGTCATTATGACGGTCCTCTTTGCCATGGCTTTCCTGAATGGACCGCGGCTGTTGGACTGGGCCAACTCTCCTCCACATCTGCAGTTCAATAAGTACGTCCTGACCGGGTACCGACCCATTTCATCCGTGCAAGACTGCATCAAGAGCCTGTTCTACCTGCACAACGAGCTGGGGAACATCTACACACACGGTGAGTGAGGGGGGGGGCATCTACACACACGGTGAGTGAGGGGGGGGCATCTACACACACGGTGAGTGAGGGGGGAACATCTACACACACGGTGAGTGAGGGGGGGGCATCTACACACACGGTGAGTGAGGGGGGGCATCTACACACACGGTGAGTGAGGGGGGGCATCTACACACACGGTGAGTGAGGGGGGGGGCATCTACACACACGGTGAGTGAGGGGGGGGCAATCTACACACACGGTGAGTGAGGGGGGGGGGCATCTACACACACGGTGAGTGAGGGGGGGCATCTACACACACGGTGAGTGAGGGGGGGGCATCTACACACACGGTGAGTGGGGGGGGGCATCTACACACACGGTGAGTGAGGGGGGGGGCATCTACACACACGGTGAGTGAGGGGGGGGCATCTACACACACGGTGAGTGAGGGGGGGGCATCTACACACACGGTGAGTGAGGGGGGGGCATCTACACACACGGTGAGTGAGGGGGGGGGCATCTACACACACGGTGAGTGAGGGGGGGGCATCTACACACACGGTGAGTGAGGGGGGGGGCATCTACACACACGGTGAGTGAGGGGGGGGCATCTACACACACGGTGAGTGAGGGGGGGGGGCATCTACACACACGGTGAGTGAGGGGGGGGCATCTACACACACGGTGAGTGAGGGGGGGCATCTACACACACGGTGAGTGAGGGGGGGGGCATCTACACACACGGTGAGTGAGGGGGGGGGGGCATCTACACACACGGTGAGTGAGGGGGGGGGCATCTACACACACGGTGAGTGAGGGGGGGGCATCTACACACACGGTGAGTGAGTGGGGGGCATCTACACACACGGGGGGGGGGGGGGGCATCTACACACACGGTGAGTGAGGGGGGGGGCATCTACACACACGGTGAGTGAGGGGGGGGCATCTACACACACGGTGAGTGAGGGGGGGGGGCATCTACACACACGGTGAGTGAGGGGGGGGGGGAACATCTACACACACGGTGAGTGAGGGGGGGGGGGCATCTACACACACGGTGAGTGAGGGGGGGGGCATCTACACACACGGTGAGTGAGGGGGGGGGGGAGGGGGGGGGGGGGGAACATCTACACCACACGGTGAGTGAGGGGGGGGGCATCTACACACACGGTGAGTGAGGGGGGGGGCATCTACACACACGGTGAGTGAGGGGGGGGCATCTACACACACGGTGAGTGAGGGGGGGGGGGCATCTACACACACGGTGAGTGAGGGGGGGGCATCTACACACACGGTGAGTGAGGGGGGGGGCATCTACACACACGGTGAGTGAGGGGGGGGGCATCTACACACACGGTGAGTGAGGGGGGGGGGCATCTACACACACGGTGAGTGAGGGGGGGGGCATCTACACACACGGTGAGTGAGGGGGGGGCATCTACACACACGGTGAGTGAGGGGGGGGGGGCATCTACACACACGGTGAGTGAGGGGGGGGGGGCATCTACACACACGGTGAGGGAGGGGGGGGCATCTACACACACGGTGAGTGAGGGGGGGGGCATCTACACACACGGTGAGTGAGGGGGGGGGCATCTACACACACGGTGAGTGAGGGGGGGGGCATCTACACACACGGTGAGTGAGGGGGGGGGCATCTACACACACGGTGAGTGAGTGAGGGGGGGCATCTACACACACGGTGAGTGAGGGGGGGGGCATCTACACACACGGTGAGTGAGGGGGGGGCATCTACACACACGGTGAGTGAGGGGGGGGCATCTACACACACGGTGAGTGAGGGGGGGGGGCATCTACACACACGGTGAGGAGTGGGGGGGGGGGGGGCATCTACACACACGGTGAGTGAGGGGGGGGCATCTACACACACGGTGAGTGAGGGGGGGGCATCTACACACACGGTGAGTGGAGGGGGGGGGCATCTACACACACGGTGAGTGAGGGGGGGGGGCATCTACACACACGGTGAGTGAGGGGGGGGCATCTACACACACGGTGAGTGAGGGGGGGCATCTACACACACGGTGAGTGAGGGGGGGGCATCTACACACACGGTGAGTGAGGGGGGGGCATCTACACACACGGTGAGTGAGGGGGGGGCATCTACACACACGGTGAGTGAGGGGGGGGCATCTACACACACGGTGAGTGAGGGGGGGGCATCTACACACACGGTGAGTGAGGGGGGGGGGGGCATCTACACACACGGTGAGTGAGGGGGGGGGCATCTACACACACGGTGAGTGAGGGGGGGGGGCATCTACACACACGGTGAGTGAGGGGGGGCATCTACACACACGGTGAGTGAGGGGGGGGGGCATCTACACACACGGTGAGTGAGGGGGGGGGGCATCTACACACACGGTGAGTGAGGGGGGGGCATCTACACACACGGTGAGTGAGGGGGGGGCATCTACACACACGGTGAGTGAGGGGGGGGCATCTACACACACGGTGAGTGAGGGGGGGGCATCTACACACACGGTGAGTGAGGGGGGGGCATCTACACACACGGTGAGTGAGGGGGGGGCATCTACACACACGGTGAGTGAGGGGGGGGCATCTACACACACGTGTGAGTGAGGGGGGGGGCATCTACACACACGGTGAGTGAGGGGGGGGGGCATCTACACACACGGTGAGTGAGTGAGGGGGGGGCATCTACACACACGGTGAGTGAGGGGGGGGGCATCTACACACACGGTGAGTGAGGGGGGGGGGGCATCTACACACACGGTGAGTGAGGGGGGGGCATCTACACACACGGTGAGTGAGGGGGGGGGCATCTACACACACGGTGAGTGAGGGGGGGGCATCTACACACACGGTGAGTGAGTGAGGGGGGGGGCATCTACACACACGGTGAGTGAGGGGGGGGCAATCTACACACACGGTGAGTGAGGAGGGGGGGCATCTACACACACGGTGAGTGAGGGGGGGGGGGCATCTACACACACGGTGAGTGAGGGGGGGGGCATCTACACACACGGTGAGTGAGGGGGGGGCATCTACACACACGGTGAGTGAGGGGGGGGGGGGGCATCTACACACACGGTGAGTGAGGGGGGGGGCATCTACACACACGGTGAGTGAGTGGGGGGGGGGGCATCTACACACACGGTGAGTGAGGGGGGGGCATCTACACACACGGTGAGTGAGGGGGGGGGGGCATCTACACACACGGTGAGTGAGGGGGGGGCATCTACACACACGGTGAGTGAGGGGGGGGCATCTACACACACGGTGAGTGAGGGGGGGGCATCTACACACACGGTGAGTGAGGGGGGGGCATCTACACACACGGTGAGTGAGGGGGGGGGCATCTACACACACGGTGAGTGAGGGGGGGGGCATCTACACACACGGTGAGTGAGGGGGGGGCATCTACACACACGGTGAGTGAGGGGGGGGCATCTACACACACGGTGAGTGAGGGGGGGGGCATCTACACACACGGTGAGTGAGTGAGGGGGGGCATCTACACACACGGTGAGTGAGGGGGGGGGCATCTACACACACGGTGAGTGAGGGGGGGGCATCTACACACACGGTGAGTGAGGGGGGGGGCATCTACACACACGGTGAGTGAGTGAGGGGGGGGGCATCTACACACACGGTGAGTGAGGGGGGGGGCATCTACACACACGGTGAGTGAGGGGGGGGCATCTACACACACGGTGAGTGAGGGGGGGGCATCTACACACACGGTGAGTGAGTGAAGGGGGGGGGCATCTACACACACGGTGAGTGAGGGGGGGGGGGCATCTACACACACGGTGAGTGAGGGGGGGGGCATCTACACACACGGTGAGTGAGTGAGGGGGGGGGCATCTACACACACGGTGAGTGAGTGGGGGGGGGGCATCTACACACACGGTGAGTGAGGGGGGGGGCATCTACACACACGGTGAGTGAGGGGGGGGGGGCATCTACACACACGGTGAGTGAGGGGGGGGGCATCTACACACACGGTGAGTGAGGGGGGGGGCATCTACACACACGGTGAGTGAGGGGGGGGGCATCTACACACACGTGAGTGAGGGGGGGGCATCTACACACACGGTGAGTGAGGGGGGGGCATCTACACACACGGTGAGTGAGGGGGGGGGGGCATCTACACACACGGTGAGTGAGGGGGGGGGGGGCATCTACACACACGGTGAGTGAGGGGGGGGGCATCTACACACACGGTGAGTGAAGGGGGGGGGCATCTACACACACGGTGAGTGAGGGGGGGGGGCATCTACACACACGGTGAGTGAGGGGGGGGGGCATCTACACACACGGTGAGTGAGGGGGGGGGGCATCTACACACACGGTGAGTGAGGGGGGGGGCATCTACACACACGGTGAGTGAGGGGGGGGGCATCTACACACACGGTGAGTGAGTGAGGGGGGGGGGCATCTACACACACGGTGACGTGTGAGTGAGGGGGGGGGCATCTACACACACGTGAGTGAGTGAGGGGGGGGCATCTACACACACGGTGAGTGAGGGGGGGGGGGGTGAGTGAGTGAGGGGGGGAGGGGCAACTACACACACGGTGAGTGAGGGGGGGGGGCATCTACACACACGGTGAGTGAGGGGGGGGGGGGGCATCTACACACACGGTGAGTGAGTGAGGGGGGGGGCATCTACAACACACGGTGAGTGAGTGAGGGGGGGGGGGGGTGGCATCTACACACACGGTGAGTGAGGGGGGGGCATCTACACACACGGTGAGTGAGGGGGGGGCATCTACACACACGGTGAGTGAGGGGGGGGCATTACAACACACGGTGAGTGAGGGGGGGCATCTACACACACGGTGAGTGAGTGAGGGGGGGGGGCATCTACACACACGGTGAGTGAGGGGGGGGGCATCTACACACACGGTGAGTGAGGGGGGGGCATCTACACACACGTGTGAGTGAGGGGGGGGGGCATCTACACACACGGTGAGTGAGGGGGGGGCATCTACACACACGGTGAGGTGAGGGGGGGGGGGCATCTACACACACGGTGAGTGAGGGGGGGGGCATCTACACACACGGTGAGTGAGGGGGGGGGCATCTACACACACGGTGAGTGAGTGAGGGGGGGGGGGCATCTACACACACGGTGAGTGAGGGGGGGGGGGGGGGGGCATCTACACACACGGTGAGTGAGGGGGGGGGGGGGGGGCGGGGGGGCATCTACACACACGGTGAGTGAGGGGGGGGCATCTACACACACGGTGAGTGAGGGGGAGGGGGGGGGGGTGTTGAGGGGTAAAGCCAAGTTTATTTTGTGTAGCACAGTTCAACTCAAAGTGCTGAACAAAACAGACATTACAATCATGGATAATCCCAGTACGTTAAAAGAGTAAAGATAAAACTTTTAACCTGGAGCTGAGGAATTTAACTTTGTTCAGTAAATAATGCATCGTCCCAACAGGTCGCCTGCAGCTTGTTTAAGGTTATATTTCACACTTGTAAGAACCCGTCATGTCTTTATTAGAATTTGAGAGTCACAGTAAAGTTTGGGTTTTGGTTTGATGCACGTATGAACAAAATTCAATTCAATATATTTTTATATAGCACTAAATTAGTACTGGTGTTTTCTCGGAGGACTTTTACAAAGCTGTTGATTCGCCAACACAGATCAGAGAATCAACCCGTTCAAACCATAGACTAAATATTAACAGACGTAGTCAGGCCTATCTGGGCCGTTCTAACTAATGGGCCAAAAATTGGGCTCTCATGGAGTGATTCAAAATGGCCGCGGGGGCTGGAAAATGTGAAAAAAAACGCATCTGCGCATGCTGCACGAGCCTCATTCATTTAAACGAGTGACTTCTAAAGTCCACAGCGACTAAACTAGACTGGTCCAGAACACCCCCCTCAGCATTGACACACATGTGGAACGGAGCTTTGGGCCAAGAGCCACTTTTGGACCATCCTGTAAAGACGTTATCAAGAAGATGCTATATGTTAGCATTGGCTTATTCTTATTCCGGGTCCACCCCCACAGGCCCGGGGTGGTATTGCAGCGTGTCAGCGCGCATCATTTTGGACATTTTTGAGCCGGGACCTGCCCACACTGGTATAAACACAGAACAATACATTTTGAATGCCATCACCAACACTTTATAAAGATAAATAAATGCCCATGCACACCGCCGTCCAAACCCCGCCGTCCAAACCCCGCCGTCCAAACGCCGTCGTCCAAACCCCGCCGTCCAAACGCCGTCGTCCAAACCCCGCCGTCCAAACCCCGTCGTCCAAATCCCGTCGTCCAAACCCCGCCGTCCAAACGCCGTCTCGTCCAAACGCCGTCTCGTCCAAACGCCGTTGTCCAAACGCCGTCGTCCAAACGCCGTCGTCCAAACGCCGTCGTCCAAACGCCGTCGTCCAAACGCCGTCGTCCAAACGCCGTCGTCCAAACGCCGTCGTCCAAACGCCGTCGTCCAAACGCCGTCGTCCAAACCCCGTCGTCCAAACCCCGCCGTCCAAACGCCGTCTCGTCCAAACGCCGTCTCGTCCAAACGCCGTCGTCCAAACGCCGTCGTCCAAACGCCGTCGTCCAAACGTGAACAAAACAGTTGAAGTGAACCTATGATGAAAATTACAGACCTCTGTCTTGTGGGAGAACTTGGGCAATTGGTGGCTGACTAAATACTTTTTTGCCCCACTGTATGCCCTATTTATTGTATTATTGATCAGAACTATCATCTCAGACTTGGTTCTGTTGATACCAGAGTGATTCCATCCTCCTCATTGTTGAAAAAATTGAACTCATTCAAACTCTACAAGGCGTACGCTGCATTGAAAATAGTTTTCACTCAAATTTATGATTGATATTAAGCCACGAAAAGTTTTTCCCAGTGGGGGCGGGTCCCGGCACAAAAGTGTCCAAAATGACGTGCGCTGACACAGATGGGGGTGGACCCGGAATAAGAATGCTAACATATAGCATCTTCTTACCTCTGGAAAACGTCTTTACAGGATGGTCCAAAAGTGTCTCTTGGCCCAAAGCTCCGGTCCACATGTGTGTCAATGCTGAGTGTTCTGGACCAGTCTAGTTTAGTCGCTGTGGACTTTAGAAGTCTCTCGTTTAAATGAATGGAGCTGCTCCGGCTGACGCATGCACAGATCCGTTTTTTCACATTTTTCTTGTGGGCGGGACCACTCGTGGCCATTTTGGATAGCTCCAGTAGAGCACATTTTTTGGCCCATTAGTTAGAACGGCGGAGATAGGCCTGACTCTGTCCGTTAATATTTACAGTCTATGGTTTTTACACCGCCCAAAAATACTTCCTGTCCTACGGTCCCATGCTATGCCCCCTTTTGGTCACGTGGTTGCAACTCAGCAGTACTAAACAAATACTAAATTAATACAATACTAATACAATACTAATACTATACTAATACTAAACTAGCTGTGTGGTCGTTCTGTAGCCGCCGTGTGGTCGTTCTGTAGCCGCCGTGTGGTCGTTCTGTAGCTGCCGTGTGGTCGTTCTGTAGCCGCCGTGTGGTCGTTCTGTAGCCGCCGTGTGGTCGTTCTGTAGCTGCTGTGTGGTCGTTCTGTAGCTGCCGCCGTGTGGTCGTTCTGTAGCCGCCGTGTGGTCGTTCTGTAGCGCCGTGTGGTCGTTCGTAGCCGTGTGGTCGTTCTGTAGCCCGCCGTGTGGTCGTCTGTGCGCCGTGTGGTCGTTCTGTAGCGCTGGTCGTTTGTAGCCGCGTGTGTGTCTGTAGCCGCCGTGTGTGGTCGTTCTGTAGCTGCCGTGTGGTCGTTCTGTAGCCGCCTGTGTGGTCGTTCTGTAGCTGTGCTCTGTGGTGTCGTTCTGCTAGCCGCTGTGGTCGTTCTGTACGCCGTGTGGTCGTTCTGTAGCCGCCGTGTGGTCGTTCTGTAGCCGCCGTGTGGTCGTTCTGTAGCTGCCGTGTGGTCGTTCTGTAGCCGCCGTGTGGTCGTTCTGTAGCTGCCGTGTGGTCGTTCTGTAGCTGCCGTGTGGTCGTTCTGTAGCTGCCGTGTGGTCGTTCTGTAGCCGCCGTGTGGTCGTTCTGTAGCCGCCGTGTGGTCGTTCTGTAGCCGCCGTGTGGTCGTTCTGTAGCTGCCGTGTGGTCGTTCTGTAGCTGCCGTGTGGTCGTTCTGTAGCCGCCGTGTGGTCGTTCTGTAGCTGCCGTGTGGTCGTTCTGTAGCCGCCGTGTGGTCGTTCTGTAGCTGCCGTGTGGTCGTTCTGTAGCCGCCGTGTGGTCGTTCTGTAGCCGCTGTGTGGTCGTTCTGTAGCCGCCGTGTGGTCGTTCTGTAGCCGCCGTGTGGTCGTTCTGTAGCCGCTGTGTGGTCGTTCTGTAGCCGCCGTGTGGTCGTTCTGTAGCCGCTGTGTGGTCGTTCTGTAGCTGCCGTGTGGTCGTTCTGTAGCCGCCGTGTGGTCGTTCTGTAGCCGCTGTGTGGTCGTTCTGTAGCTGCCGTGTGGTCGTTCTGTAGCCGCCGTGTGGTCGTTCTGTAGCCGCCGTGTGGTCGTTCTGTAGCCGCTGTGTGGTCGTTCTGTAGCCGCCGTGTGGTCGTTCTGTAGCCGCCGTGTGGTCGTTCTGTAGCTGCCGTGTGGTCGTTCTGTAGCCGCCGTGTGGTCGTTCTGTAGCCGCCGTGTGGTCGTTCTGTAGCTGCCGTGTGGTCGTTCTGTAGCCGCCGTGTGGTCGTTCTGTAGCCGCCGTGTGGTCGTTCTATAGCTCAGGTCCTGGTCCTGGTCCTGGTCCAGGTCCAGGTCCAGGTCTAGATCCAGGTGACTGAAGAGCAGGAAATGGAGCAGAAACTGAGCGGCGTCCTCCGGGACACGCAGCCTTTTGTTTCTGCTCACCAGAGTTGAAACGAGCAGAGGAGAATCATTATAATTTGATGGTTCTATGATTTAAACCAGGGTGAAATGAAACATAGTTACTCTCGGCTCTAAAACATGTCAGAATGAATTTAATGTTTAATGTTTAAGGCTTTATGGTCATTCTAACAAGGCGTTCACAGGAGTTCTGTGATGTTTCTCTGATCAGCTGTTATCAGAGGCAGCGATATCTTTCTGACAGAATAATGCCTATGAATGATATATGCAGTTAATGTTCTACTTTGTATAGGACTGCGCCTCCTGTACTGGCCCCTCCCATCTCTGTGTGGAGTGACAGACTAATGCCCACTAGTGTAAAGGTCTTTGTGACTGTGGTCTGTGAAAGGCGCTATATCACTTTATGATCAGTGATCATGAATGTCTAGACGCTGGATCTAGGCCCTCGATCACATTCGGTCATGACAAAGTTAGTTACCCCAGCTTTAAAAAGACATTATTTATTACTAATTGTTGTTTTAGAGTTTACAATCAGTGAAATAAAACTAAATGTTTTATAACGTACTATCATTCGTCCATTCACACAAACACACACACAACTCTGCGTTTCTGTGTGTGTGTTTTTGTAGCTGCTTTGATGGTCTTCATTTTGTGAATGGCGCTGGTTCCCGGTGCTCGGGCGATAGCGAAGAGAGCGAAAAGGACATTTGGGTTTTTTGCCGGCGGCGGCGCACAGCTGCAGCCGATAACAGAGGGTCAGGAGCAGGATTTATGAGTCCTGTTCAGATAAACGTTATGGCCCCATTCACACACAACGCTTCACAAACAGAGGGCCAGGGGCAGCGTGGAACCGGGAGTTGGGTTGGGTTTGGTTTTTGGGCAAATTTGACGATAACCAGTTAGTAGTAGTTTATTTATTATGTACATTAGATCTCAGGTCACATGTTTTCAAAGATCATATACATTTTACTATAAGAAGAAAAAAAAAAGGCCTATTAAGAAGAATCCAATTTTTTGCTTTGCCATTGGAAGTAACAGGGATTGACGCTGACAGCTGATTGGCTGAGTGAAGGCGGTCTACGGTAACACATTTTGATGGAACATATTGATGAAGAGATTGTGATTTGGGCTGTAACGAATGAATCAAAGAAAATCAATTACACTGGGTAACAAAAAAATATTTTTTGAAAATAGTCCAGGGTTTTCAGCTGAATTAGACTAATTTTGATGCTCTGAGTCCGAAAATGACCTTGGTTTTGCTCAATCAGGTCAGGATTTTTTGCTACAGAAATATTTTATCTTAATCGATTTTGTGTAAAAAACAAATTTCTGCGGATCATCAGCTGAGAAACCCTTGACGTTTTTTCCGTTTTCCTCAAGAAATAAAAGTCAACGTATCAAAAGTAATTCAGTTTTTATTTACTCCATCAAATTTGATAAGCAGAATTCATAATAACGTAGACGTACATAATCCGTAACACTATGGCTGTATCTCAAAAAGTTGACCTGATAGAGACAAATGCATGTGATATTCAGACTCAGAACACCAACATTAGTCTAAATCAGTTGAGAAACCTCTGACCATTTTTTGGCTGTCAACTTGTGTTATTTATACTATAGTAGTCATATAAATGTAGACTACATATAAATGTAGTCAACTCATTTGGTCTTCTTACTCCTAATCTAATTACTGCTAATAAATTCTCATTTATTGACATTTATTAACATTTATGGGCAGTGTTTTTCTTCTGTTCAAACTGTTTGATTTTCTTTTCTGTTGTTAGTGAATTGACAACTTTTGTATAGTCCTTCCAAGGCTATCGTGATTTAGGGCTAAAAAATACATTACCCTAATAACCCTACATAATAACCCTAACCCTTGAGTATGTTTTTTTAACCTCCTGAGCCGAAGGTTGGTGGTTCGAATCCTGCTCCTCCTGACATAGCTGGTTGGTTTAGGCAGGTTTCAGCTCCCATTGGTGAAGGCTGCTGTGTGTCCTTGGGCAAGACGCTTAACCCGTCTCGCCCCTGTATCTGCGCACACTGGTGTGAATGGGTGATTGGTTTCATTGATGTAAAGCTCAAACGACAAATAAACTCAATCTTGAATCTCCCAAAAAGCTCAGACGCCGCTGTTAAATGTTGTTTTATGTGTACATTCTTTCATCTAGACGCCTTCAGTGACTGTATTCCAACCATTGCCAGGTCGCATAACTCCCGGCGTACAATACACATGTGTTTCTGTTGGGTTGGAACAGTAAAATAAGAGTTTCCGCCCCGTGAAAGAAGCGTGTGTGAAATCCTGGAAGGCTTAGGCTCCGGTCACCTCCAGCTCGACTCCTCTGACTCCATTTTGCTGACGTGTCCTTGGGGCGAGAGATTGAATGTCCCTCTTCATCCTTTGACGCTGCACATTGATGTATGAACACGTGAGAATGTGAAAGTGCTTCTTTGATGTGGAAGAGCTTTGAGGCCGGACAAAGGGAGAGATGGGAAACCGGAAATATCTAGTGCCAAAGGTTTGAGGAAAGGCCGTGTCATTCCATCAGAAAGCAGTGTTTTATTGACTTTAAAGTTACTATCGTGGTCATTATGAACATTATCAACATTTATGGACATTGGTCTCTGCCCCTTATGGACCAATGGCTCTATGTGTGTTGTTATCTTTGCATTTCTGGTGTTTTTCTGTGTTGTGCGTACTCAACGGTTTTGTGAAGTCTGAATATCTACGGTTGTGATTTAGGGCTATACAAAAATACATTGAATTGAATTGATTTAAACTCTGTATTTACTGCTTTCACTTTGTTATCTGAGCTCAATCTGACCTGGGAAACATTTGTAAAAAGCATAGACGTAGAAAGGAGTGACGTCACTTGTAGCTGATTATAGCTTATAACTATAATTATTAGGGCTATCAAAGTTGTCGCGTTAATTTTTTCCATTAATTGCGTTTAAGAAATTAACGCTTTTAACCACTTTGCAACAACCGGCGCGCCGGCGGCCGTTTTTATGTTTTTAAATGTTCTGCTGGCAATAGCAGATGTATTTTGAACACCAAACCCCAAAAGCTGTATATCATTTTAAAGCTTATTTTCTTATCTACATTTATATACAAGTGTAAACTACATCAGACTTTGCATTCAAAAGATATAACACATAATGTGGGCACAAAATAAATCAATTCCGAAATAGTTTTTTACCTTTGGGCTTGTGCTGTACAAATAAATCAGCTCTCCTCCCAGCTTGCAATACATCATTCTCTCTGGAACAGTCCAAAGGAAAATTATATCCACTTGTATTTCCCAAAGTAAAATCCATTCTGCAGAAATAATCCAAAAATGTGCATTTATCTTTAGCGAAAAAAACGAAAAAAAAGAGCACAGATGTTACTCTTTCACTTTTAACGGACTTTTAGCTTTGTTTTTCACCCAAACATCTGGTATCTACGTGTTCCTTAGCTCCTTATCTTTCAAATGAGACTACTCCCGAAAAGCTAGACCAATTTTTGGGTCTGCAATAGCTCCCGCAAGTACCGCTCGTGCTGCTGTTTGCGCATGGAGGACTGATCTTTGTTGTGCTCCCAACTTGTTTGCTTTTACTTCCGGGATTTATGATTGACATGTCCTTGTAGCCAATGAGGAACGCTTTCGAACAAGGGGTGGGACAATGGTGTCCTGTCTTATGTTGTGCCTGGACAATTGTGCGTAATGGAAGCCAAAAGACGATCTCGAAGCTGCAATGAATTTACACTCATAAAAAAATAACTTTGACATTTAAAAAAGAAAAACACACATAGATTAGTAACTTATAAGTACCAATAATAAAAAATATTGTTTTTATGATGATTAAATGTAAGTAAAGATATTTGGCACAATTTGGCACACTTGTGCCAAATTGTGCCAAATGTGCACTACTTGATGAAAAGGAGAAACTGCATAAAAACTATAAAACTTACAAGTCTGAAACTTTAGACAGTTGTTGTCAACAACACAATGAACAGAGGGTTTGAATATTGTGAACTTACAATGAAGTATGCCTTTTTTAGGGCCTTTAGAAATTGAAAATGTTAGGCGAGGCTAAAAAAATTGGGTTTTTTTCCCTAACTTCAAAGGATGCAGAGGAAAATAGGAATGACAAACATTATTTTAGTGTTTTTTTACATAAACTAGAAGGCTCTAGCTTTAAAATGATGCATCACACAAGCATGTGAGATGTAAGATGTGGTTTTAAATAAGCAAAGACATTTGGGTATGCCCAACCATTGTGCACGAGCCAAAATGAGGCGGTTGTTAAGAGGTTAACGCATGTGCCAAGTGACTGGCACCCCGCACGCGCGTGACCGCGGGGCAATTGTTGTGAATGGGAGTCCGCAGCGTTCTGGGGCATCTGCGGTCGCTTTGGACAGCGGTTCTCGCGTCCAGCGGCTGTGAGCTGCTTTCGTGAGCGGCTTTCAACAGCACGGGAGCGCGCAGCCGTAACGTGGCCGTAACGTACCCAGTGCCATAAACACGCACAGGACCACTGTGAGCTCTGATCACGCACAGGACCACTGTGAGCTCTGATCACGCACAGGACCACTGTGAGCTCTGATCACGCACAGGACCACTGTGAGCTCTGATCACGCACAGGACCACTGTGAGCTCTGATCACGCACAGGACCACTGTGAGCTCTGATCACGCACAGGACCACTGTGAGCTCTGATCACGCACAGGACCACTGTGAGCTCTGATCACGCACAGGACCACTGTGAGCTCTGATCACGCACAGGACCACTGTGAGCTCTGATCACGCACAGGCGTGACCAGTGCTCACAATAAAAACAGCGCAGCAAGAAACAGTCAGTCTCCCCCGTGTTTTCTCCCGAAGCGAAAAAAATACGCAAAATTAAAGCTGGGGTACCTACCTTTTCCTTTGCACTACCATTTCATGTTGTTTTTGCCCAAAGTGAAATGTTGTGAGCAAATAAAACAGTTAATGACAGCCATTGGCTGACATGCATTTCAGACTTTTTTCAAATGTCTCTCATCCCTGAAATGATTGTCTTTGGTCCCCAGAAACAAAGAGAGAGCGTCATCTGTCACCTCCAGTCTCTCTCCCTAAAACCTTCAAACAAGGTCAGAAATCTAGGGGTAATACTGGACTCAGACTTACATTTTAATAGCCACATCAAATCAGTAACATCAGCAGCTTTTTACCATCTAAAAAACATTGCCAGGATCAAAAACATAGTGTCTAAAGCAGACCTGGAGATTCTTATCCATGCATTTGTCTCCAGTAGGTTAGACTACTGCAATGGCCTGCTCACAGGTCTGTCCAAACAGGCTGTAAAACAGCTGCAGTACATTCAAAATGCAGCAGCTCGAGTCCTGACTAGAACCAGGAAGTACGACCACATTAGTCCTGACTAGAACCAGGAAGTACGACCACATTAGTCCTGACTAGAACCAGGAAGTACGACCACATTAGTCCTGACTAGAACCAGGAAGTACGACCACATTAGTCCTGACTAGAACCAGGAAGTACGACCATATTAGTCCGGTCCTCAGGTCTCTGCACTGGCTTCCTGTGGCTCAGAGAATAGACTTTAAAACAGCTCTGCTTGTTACAAGTCTCTCCATGGCCTCGCACCAAAATATATTAGTGACATGTTAGTCCCATATGAACCAGCCCGGACTCTGAGGAGCACAGGGACTGGACTCCTGCTGGGACTCTGAGGAGCACAGGGACTGGCCTCCTGCTGGGACTCTGAGGAGCACAGGGACTGGCCTCCTGTTAGTGCCCAGAGTCAGAACTAAACATGGGGAGGCTGCTTTTCAGATTAATGCTGCTAAAATCTGGAACAGTCTTCCTGAAGATGTGAGACAGGCCTCCTCTCTGACAATGTTTAAAACCAAGTTAAAAACGGTGCTGTTTAGCTGTGCATACAACTGAGGGATTTTATATTTTTATCTTTCTTTTTAATGTTCTGTGATTATTTGTTTTGTTCAGCACTTTGAGTTGCCTTGTGTATGAATTGTGCAATACAAATAAACTTGCCTTGCCATGCCTTAACAAACAAGTTTGTAGAGACACAATAATGAAGAGCATCCACAGCCTTTATGAAACGGAAGAAGAGGAGGCTTTAGCAGATGCAGAATATGTCGAGCTGAAAAAAAATAGTGTCTACTACAGAAAGACAGAATGTTAATAATGTTAATCCCATTTTATGTGGATTTATTGTTCTTATAAACAAATACTTTACAAATGTACACTATGTTGTCATTTATCTTTCTAACCCTAACCATTTACAGAAAAATATGGCATCATTTTGCCAATTGTTCGAAATGGGATTAATTATGATTAATTCATTTTTAAGCCGTAATTAGCTCGATTACATTTTTTTATTGTTTGACAGCCCTAATAATTATAGTTTATAACTCAAACATTCTCCGTCACCGGATTTGATTTGATTTATTTCAAGCTTATAAACATGAGTCCATTTTTTAATTTACAGCAATTACATATACATGGTAGAAACAAGGGCTGCACAATATTGGAAATTAGTGCAATATTTGATATGAGTGAGTATTGCGATAACAATATTATTGCAATATTTTTGTCTTTCACCTAAAATTGCAATCTGCATTCAAACGCAAGAGACAAATAACAAACAATAAGCACAACATTAATGACATTCAAATGCATATATTATATTTATATACTTTTTTGTTTGTTTTTTGTTCTTGATCAATGTCTGTTTTGACAAAGTTTTTTCATCGCGGATCTTTATGATGTGCATATTGCGTGCACCAATATCACAATAAAGATATTTTTTTTGATATATCGTGCAGCCCGAATAGAAACATACGTATATGGGCTTGTTCACACTAAAGGGCACAAAAGTGTGACAAAAGGCCAAAAATTAGATTTTAATAATCAGAAGATATTTTATGTTTTTCATGTTTCCAAACACCTCCTCTGTCCATTAGAAGTTGCTAGAACATAACTGTTTTATACATTAGACAAGTTTCCTATAGCGGCCCTGTTTATTTTACCTAACGGATGATTTGACGGAATGAGCTTTGTGGAAGTTTGATGGTATTTTCAGATGTCCACATTTGATTCAGAGATTCTATTTTTTTACACAAAGTAGATGCAAAGTGATACTTTCATATTGTCAACCAATTAAATGTGAAAACAGACCAGATTTTTTTTTTCTCAAGTTCAATTTTTAGAGAAAAGAGGACCGTCCTCATCACGTCCGTTATACATTTTTCAGGGGTCATTTAATTAATTAATTTTTTATTTTTTTACGATTCTTTTTTATATCAAGTGATTTCCTGATGTTGTGTTAACCATGTAAATCTTGTGG